TGTCCACATCCCTCTTGAAGTGCGGCACCCAGAACTGGACGCAGTACTCCAACTGCAGCCTGACCAGTGCCGCATAGAGGGGGAGGATCACCTCTTTTGACCTGCTTGAAATGCATCTGTGGATGCATGACAAGGTGTGGTTGGCCTTCCTAACTACCTCCCCACACTGCTGACCCGTGTTCATCTTGGAGTCGATGAATTTAGCATGTGATGAAGAAAAAAACAACTTGCTCCAGTGCATGTTACAGGGACACGTATCTGTAATGATTACAGGGTGCATGACCACAAAATGTACATATTCAGAATAGTACTTTAGGAACTGGTGCAGTCGTAGACTAAGGAGGTGCATCATATGTTTTTGACACGAGTGTCTGAGTGTGGTGACCGAGACATTTGAATTAACTTCTTCAACTCATGGTTGTCTGGGTAAGCTTATGAGTGAGTTTGCTTTTATGATAGCTGATATTTCATATGTTTATATGTGCAGGAAGCTGCAGGGTAATAAAAGGATTTTTTTACTTTATTTTAAGAGTAAAGGGCAAGTTAATTCCTTGGAAAGGCTGGGTAGAAGGAATGATACGTGGGCAGCAGAGCTCATGTTAAATACTCTTAAATTAAAAAATGATAAATGCCATGTTGAATTTTAGAAACAAAAATAAGGCTTTACTGCTTTTAATTATCATTCCTCTTAAAGAGTCAAGAGGCTTTCAAAGCTTTTTTTTGTTGCTGCCAAAAGAATTACTTACTGAATTCCAGTCCCAGTTTTGCCAACCAGTTAGACATTGAGGTACAGTGGGTATTACTGATAGCTGTATGGCACAGAGCTTTTTCAATATTGGTGAAAATAAGCAGGGAGCTTGCTTTGGGTCTGTTTGAATTAGCAGAATATAGTATATGTCTTTGCATATTTACACCCCCAAATAAAACGTACACCTTTTTTTTGGGAAGGCAAAATGAAGAAAGTTTTTTTTTTTCTTCTTAACTGACCAGTTCAGAATCGGTTTCCTCATTTAAAGATACGCATTTTAGATTGCTAATTTTAAGGGGAAAAGTGAGAGTGGTATGTGAATAAATAAGTATGAAACCCTTGCAGTACTATTTATTTAATCACTTTGAAGTGTAGGCTCTTTATTTTAATGTTTGTATTGTGTCAGTTAATCTAGGTATAGAGCTGCCTAACTGAGGTGATGGAAGGTGATTGAGTTTGTGGGGTAAAAATGGACCTATGTGTTGATAGCATTCTCAACTATAAATTGTATGGCTAATAACATTCACTTGTTAAGTATTTCCTCACTATTTTAATAAAATTTGGACCGCTTGCTTACTTCATATCTTGTTTTTACTCTTCAGATTAAATGATGCACCAGTTCAAGGATATACGGATCATGTTGGTAAGAAAACTACCATAAGGATGACCTATCCAGAGGGAGCCCCACTTTCTGAAAATGAGTATTATCCTGGCAGCTTATTTGTTGCTGTTTTATTTAAACATGTTGATTTTGATTGGCTTCAAGCAATGATAAAAAATGAAACATTGGTACGTAGTGGCAGTATGCTTACCATGCACTACTTTGTTCTGATAGATAAGACACTGACTTTCTAAGCAAGTAACTGTTGTTGTGTTGTACTCTACTCTCTTTCTCCTTTTTTTTTTTTTTTAATATTTCAGGCTATTTTCATATCAATGTTGTATGTACAGTTACAAGAATGCTTTTCCAAAGAGAGTGCTTATTTACTGGCACTAAACCTTACAACATCTGGAAAGCTTAATAATCCAAGTCAAAATATGTATTGCCTTAAGTGACTTGCTCGAACTAAGTATAGAACAGGGATCAGCAACATTTTTGGGCAGAGTGCTGAAAACACCCTCGACTTTGACTTGTAAGACGTTGGCATGCCATGGGCAGATAGTAGGGTAGCCACAAGGGGCCTGATCCTTGTGGCAGCACAGCCCTGGCCCCTTCCACGCTGTCCATGCCAACACATGCATACCCACCATGGAGCCCAGGCTGCTCCCAGCAGGCAGTGGGAAGGCTGCAAGCAGCTGCATTGGGGTCTGCAGAGCCCCAGCCTGGCTCATTGCGGGCGGCGGGTGCGCACACACCTCGGTGGATGACAGGGAAGGAGCCAGGGCTGCCCTGCCACAACAAGGATTGGGCCCCACTGCCTCCCACCATCTGCCCTGAGGTGTGCTAAGCAAACTGCCTTCACGTGCCATGCTGTGTCATGGGTGCTGGGGTTTATCTACGCCTGCTATAGAAATAGGATATCCCCGATAGCAAGCCTGTTTCTTTAGCTGCTAAAATAAATGCATGTAGTGTTATTGCTATCAACTGATGTTGGTTACAAACTTCAGTGTCTAGTAGATTGGTTCATTACTTGAACAAAGCAAGCCCTTTCTTTTAGCATTTAAGAGACACTAAAGCAGGGGTTGTCAACCAGGGGCACATGTACCCTTGGGGCTACTTTGAAAGGACCCAGGGGGTATGCGGGGGTGGGTGGCGATGGAGTGCCACCATCCCGCGCTGCTGCCTCATGGGAGCAGAGCTGGGGTGCAGTGAGAGCAGTGCCATACAGACGCTGCACTGCCACCACCCACCATGTCCCCTGTTCCCCAGGGTACACTTATTAAAAAGGGGGCCACCAGAGTTACACTTATTAAAAAAGGTAGAAAACCCCTGCACTAAAGTATAGATAGCAGTACTTCAAGTGTCCATAAAGTATCTCTGCATTATTAAATAGTGATACGTTTTGGAGGAAAATCTGTCTGGTTATTTGGCTGTTTGAAACACAAGCAGTATTATAGATCAATAATTCTTAACCTTTTTCACCCTACAGACTCCTTCCTTCATGGTCAAGTCCTCCTCTCCCAAAGTGTTTCTGGCACCCAGGGGATCCCTGTGTGCTAGCCTTTCTGCAGAACTAATTAGTCTACCCACAGCATGCAGTGAGACTCAGGCAGCTTTGCTGCTGCTTGTGCTGGGGTCAGTGCTCATCAGTAGAGAGCCGAGTTTTCTGTTTCCCACAGGAAAACAGAGAAAACTATGGATTTTCCCCTTTACTGGAGAAAAATGTGGATTTCTCATTTTACCGGTGAACCTGTGGATTTTGCATTTTTACAAAGAGCTCCCTGCAGGCTGGCAGAGTCCCAGCCTGCAAAAGGCTGGGGGGAGCGGGAGGAGGGCGGTCAGGCAGGGGCAGGATGTGCATCTATATATATCTGCCCCCAGGCAGTCTGGAGAGCAGCTCCCACAGGTAAAGTGGGATGGGGGTGGGGGAGGATTGAGGCCCCCGTAGGGAGGGAGGGAGGGGGCTTGGCAGGGCTGGGGTTGCTGCCCAGGTGGGTGATGTGTGGGGCTTGGGGCTCGGGGTTGCAATGCGTGGCTGCATGCCCCCAGTGTGGAGTGGGACTGGGTCGGGTCGCAGGTGGCTTGTGCTGGAGGGGCCGCTCCCTGGGGGTGAGGAGGTGGGACCCATGACCCACACCTGTGCATGGGGCAGATGTGGGCTGCCCGTTGCAGGCTCGGGCTTCCTGCCCTGCTGCCTTCTCCCAGGGCCTCCTCAGCCCAGTGGGTGCGACCCAGTGCTGCAGGGAACAGCGGAGCCATGCGGGGATCTCCTTGCCACTGCAAGCTCTGCCCTGCCCTGGCTACACGTCCCCTGCACGCAGAGCAGCTGTGGAGGCAATGACATGGTGTTGTACCCCTTATTGTTCGCGCAGGGGATGTGTCGCCGCTGGGCTGTGGAGGCCCCAAGGGAGGGCAGCAGAGTGGGAGCCCGAGCCCGGAGCGGGCAGCAGGTAGGGGAGCTGGCTTCCGTGATATGGCCCACCTCCTGCCGGTGGCAGGGGACTGTGGACCTGGGTGTCTGGCCCCATAGCCCTGGCAGCTGGGGACCCCCTCTGGCAGGGCTGGGGGGGCAGGGAGGTGAGGGTCACGAGCAGGGCCAGCAGGCTGTGGTGGGTGGAGTGAGGGGTGCCAGCAGGACTTGGGGAGGGAGTCGGGGAGTGAGGAGCCTTTCATTTTAATCATGGATTTGGGGGGTTTTATTGGAGGATTTTTGATTTTTTTTTTTCCTTCAGGGAAAACCAGGATCCTTGCTCATCGATCAGCTTTGTGCTGGGTATATTTGGATGAGGGATTGGAGGTCCCCATCCTGCTGTCCCTCCTAGAGGCTCACATGCGGCACCTCCAGCATGCTGGTTTAGAAAAACTGTTCTAAAGTACGCAGTTTAAGGGACTATAACCCTAGTTATCAGAGTCCTTTTTTTTCCTCCCATCAGGCAGAACTGACCACCATCATCTGTTACTGCAGCCAGTTGACATGCATTCAGTAGCATGCACTATAGTGGTTGGTACAGTATTTAGTACTTTATATTTAGGATGGATTGGTTTTTTTTGCAGTTTTACAAGCAAAAATTAGGTCCAACTGCCTTGGGATACTGAAACAATTTAACAGCTTAAACTCAGAGCTTAAATGTTGTTTTTTTGATCTCAAACCAAATTACTTGAATTTTTAGTGTAATGGGCATAAACATGCCAAACTTGTGGAACTTTGTGAAGCTTTTGCTATGTAATCTCTTGGGATCAAGGCAAGATGTGATTTCTGTAGGGCACAAGCTAATCTCTCAGCTAGAATTCAACAGTGTTGCTTGAAGTCATGGAACCGTTCTCTGACCTCATTTTGATATTTGACTTCCCCCATGTAACTTCAAAACCTGTTTTGGGGAGGGGAAGAAAAGGAATCGTCTTACTGATGGCTGCCTGCAACTCTTAATTCAAGCCCCTTATGTATAATCATCATCTTTAAATTAAATATTTGTATACTGTCTGTCCTGCCTGATCTTCCTGTCTTTCAGTGCAGAGATTGGACATTGCTCCCTTAATGCACAGCTATTTGTTGTTGTTCTCCTCGGCCCTGTTCCTTACATGCCGCAGGCTACTCAAATGCCTCGCTGAAGATAGAATTACTTACTCAATAAGCCCTCTTCTGTTGTGCATATCGCTGCGGTATCCGAGTGCTTCACAAACACTTGAATGTATCACAGTGTATTTACACAAGTGGCTGAATAACAGTTGCACTGAACCTGGGCTCTTTGGCAGGATTAGGTTCCTAACCCTCCTGCAAAGACGTGTTTGTGAACTTAGCTGGAGGTAAAGAGCCTCAGCAAACAGCTGTGAGAGACAAGGTGCGGCAGCTGTGGGACTAGGGCAGTGCTCCAGCTGATTGAAGTAAAAGCCACAGCAAGCAGCCTGCTGCAAATTAAGCAGATTGCAAACAATCCCTATATGGAAAAGTTGGGTTTTAATGTGCAACTAACTAACCTTTACTGTTCAAGGGATAGAGAAAGCAGATCCCTAACATAAAGCTGCTTCACACCCAAGGGCTTTCAAGTCCCTGCTCCAAAGATGGAAGCAAAAGAACGTGTCAAAAACAAGATTTCTTTAACGTTAAAAAAACTTTTATTTTCCTGAGTCTTGTTCTCAGAAATGACCAATCATTTTTTGGCTGACATTCTCTCAAAAAAAAATTGCAAATCTGAGGCAGGCATGGAAGAGTTCAGCCTTAGTGATTAGCATTGAAAAATCACTAGTAATTGAAAATGGAGTCTTGTAATGAAGTACTGGGGAAACTTAGTAAGTGTTGCTATCCATCACCACTGTAGACCACGAAAGATTCTTTACACTTCTTGCTATATTGGCAGGAAAGTGTAACGTATGGAAAGGAAGTAAATCATTCACCAGGTGCTTTGAGGGAGAACATGCTTGGCACAGAAAAAATGCACCTTTTTGCATTGTTCATTTGCACATTGGAGCACAACTTTATGGAGAACAGCAGAAAATAGACTTTAGGGCTAAGGACAGAAATTACACACAAACCCGTATAAGTGATCAGAAACTGGTTCAAACCTGTAACGCAGCAGAAGTTCAGTGCGTACAAACTGGTTTCAAAATGGATAAAGCTGGTTTAATATAAATCTGGATGGATGTAGTATCAGACTTAACTGATTTAGGTTAAATTAGCTTATTGAACTTCTGTCCTAGATCCCCTGCGGATTCAAGTTCACTCCACAGTCCCCCATCATCCCAGGATGCTTTTCAGTTCCCCTGCAACCCCCGCCCCCAGCTCATCTTGCAGGGTGGGTGGCTTAGCTTTGGTCCCAGCTGTCTGCTGTAGCACCCCCCAGCTTCTGGCCTGGGTCACTGCAGGCATGTGGCTGCATTTCTGGAATCAAAAGTGAATGTCTGTTCACTTTCTTATTGGTTCAATTTCTGCAGCTTAAACTAACCTGCAAAGACTGAATCGATTCAGCCTTGGGTTTTTTCATTGTCTGTACTTAGTCTAATGGATCATTGGGTTTGGGTCTCTTAATCAGTTCTGCATCAGACCTTCTCCACTAATTTTTTTTTTGGTGAGGGGTCAGAAGCAAGTCTGTTGGATTTTACTATTGCATTAGTAATCTCTGAAAGCAGTACACTTGTCCTTCAATGGACATTTGCAATGAGGAACTGCCCATTTCAAAATACAGGTACCATGTAGCAGGTACAGGAGCTGAGAATAGATACCTGAGTCTGTCTCCAGCAATTGCTATGGAAATAGTCACATTTTCCTGTTTCTTCAAATGGTTTTTGTCTACTCTCTTGCTCTGTGAAAGCTCCAAAAGTGTAGAGGACTGCGGTGATCAGCAAGGGCATGGACACAAAACACAGTTGGACAGTCAAAGTACTGTATGTACCCAAATCCAAGGCGACTTTGAATTTAAAATCCCCAGCCCCCAAATAATTAGATTCTCTATATAGAAAATGTATAAATTTGTTATAATATTCCATTTAATAGAATCTCATTTTTGAAGGGTCATCTTTAAATTCATCCCCACCATTGCAATGGGAAAAGTAGCAGCTCTCACCCGCCCACAGCCTGTCTGCCCCCTCAGTGCCCACACTCCTGTTGCATGCCTCTGCCCCTTGCCCTGCCACGTGGCTGGGTGCTGGGGCCACAGTTTCTTTCTGTGTGCTTCATGCTTGGGAGGGGATGGAGCTAGAGCCATGTCTGACAGAAAGCAGCAGGGGTGGGGGCGGGTATTAAAGTATTGATTTAAAAAAAAAAAAAATCTGAGAGTAGCGAAATTTATACTGATCTCCTTGGAAGTCTGTCGTAAGTCACTTTGTCTCAGTTTAATCCGATTCGTGTGTTTTAATGAAAGCAAACGGAGTGCTGTGTCCTCAATACCAATTTGTTATGGCAGTGTTAAGTTTTCCTATCTTACCTTATGGTGGGGTTTTGTTTCCCTTTTACTCAGCCACTGTGGGTGCGACTGTTCTTTTGGAAGAAGGTTGCTGAGAAAATTCCTCTATCATCAAAGCAATTTCGGATTTTGAATCCGCTAGTTGTCAGAGAGACGGCCCTGGATATGCTACAGTACCCTGAGCCTCGACCTAAATTCTGGGGTTGGGATCAGGTAAGTTGCCATCTTTTGGCCAAGGATGCTGCCTACAGAAATTCATGGCTTTAGACACCTAATGGGATATAAGATAAAAAGATTTTGGTTCTTCTTCCATTGTCATCTTTGTGCAGGTTTGCCCTTATTATGAAGCATCGGAGAAACTGATTCTTCTCAGAGAGGCTCTTTTTATTTTCTTTAATTTAAAAAAAATAATTAAATTCTGATAAAGTAATGTGGTACAGATTTCTTGTAAACCATGGAAAATACAAACCTAGGATAATTTTAAAATCGGGGGTTATGCTTGTGTTTGTTCATATACCGAGACCTGTATCTGATGCCTTTTTTTAGTATTAAAAAGATGCTTCAGAAAAATGCAGTAGGGCTAAGTTTATATCAACACAATGGATGTGTGTCCTAAGCTATGGACTCCACTAAAATATGTAATGCTTAAGGCTGTCTCAATCACTTGCCTTCCCCTTTACCGAGAAGCACTTCGCCCTCATTATAGAATGCAAGGATGGTACTTCATAAGTTAAATCAAAGCTTTATGCAAGTTAAGAAGTGAATAATTTAGCCTGTATGATATCCAACAGAAGAAATAAAGTAGGATGTACATGATTCTTCTGTATAAAGGGCTAATTTGCAGTGAAAACTGGTTTCTATTGGAATGAAGTCTTTGAGGAGCGCTGTTGCCTAACACATTAAACATGATCTAACAATTAATCTAGATGAGAAAAAGCCATGGTTAACCTTGCACTAGCAGGTTCCAAAGACACAATGTTTTTACCTCCTTTGTTCAAACAGTAAGTCGTTAACTGTAGCATGGTTGGAAATTTGACTTTAACCATTCAGTTCTTCGTTCGATGAACTTGAGATGTGCTAATAGACTCTGAAATTATATTTTTAGCCTTCAAAGTGGTCCTGCTTGCAGTGAAGAGATACTAACTCATGACTTCCCCATAACAGTAGCACAAGCTGATGCCTCCTAATAAACTATTGCAAAGGTAGAAGGCTAGAAAGCTGGAAGGGGACTAGAGTTATGTTCTAAATAGGTGTGATTTTTCCTTGTAGAACGTACCCACAATTGGCGTCACTGCTGTTGTTCTGGCCACACATTTATGCGACGAAGTGAGCTTAGCGGGATTCGGATACGACCTTGAACGACCCAACACGCCTTTGCATTACTACGACAACCTTTGCATGGCTGCGATGAACGAACAAACAATGCACAATGTGACAACAGAAACACAATTTCTACAAAAACTGATTAAAGAAGGAGTTGTGAAAGACCTGACCGGAGGCTTACATTGTGAATTCTGCACTAAGTCAAGCTGATGACTGGACCTGAGTGCAAAGTAGTTTCTTTAGGTTCTTCCAAACTTGTGGGGAGGCCGTTTCAATGTTTGCATCCTATGGACATTATGTTAGAACCATTGGTTTTTGTATTTTTGTTACATTTTTTAACTAGTAGTTGTGTTTGTTGGGTTTTGAAATATATTTTCAGGCCACATTTACTTTGCACACATTTGTGGTTAGCTATATAAATACAATGTTGAGTTGAGAGAAATGTCTTTAAAATATTTAATGTTTTAAATTGACTGAAGAAAAAAATAGGAGATTTTTGTTGTTTTATATGTGAATGGCACTCTCCATTCTAAGTATGTGTTTGCCTAACTTAGAGGAGACTTATTCCCATGGAAGTGTCCATGCCTTTGTGGGTCCAGTTCTCATGCATAGGTCTTCATTGTGTGCAACAAGAAAAACAAAGCATGTTTTTTTTCTAAGTGACTTTATTGTTTGCAGATTGATTATTCTTGGTGGTAGATCTCACACTTGTGTAACCTTCCTCAAACCTCTTATGTTCCCCTGGTGTGCAGATGCCTGTCTTTTTTTTCAGTTGGGAGGAGGGGAGGAAAATCTGTTGCAGCAACAGAGTTGAATTTTCAGTTCTTGAATGCAGCATCTGATCATGCCTGGTACAGAAATCATTGACCTGTGGAAATGCTTTTGGTCTCGTTTTAACCACTTGACGTATCTGGACCAAACCTTGCTGTAACCAGATTTAGTCTGCAGAAAGCTTCTACCTGAGCCAACACTTTCTACTTTCCCTCTTCTAGCTCCAAAATACCTGGTTATAATGAGGTTGGTTCACGTCGGAGTTTAATTACCACTGTGTGTCAATGTGGAATTGAGTCAGCTTTAAGTGAGCTGAAAAAGCACTTTTTAGGGATTACATCAGCTTTGGGCTGTTTTTATAAAGAGGTTTGCCCTGACAGACGTGTGTGGAAGACGTACACTGTCAGGATCAAAACTGACGAGAAAAAGTTTTTTGTTTTGTTTTTTGTAACCTTTGAATTGTTGCAGTTAACATTAGGCCTGCTCTGCAGGAGATTAAATACAGGATTGGTTTGAACTGATAGTGGCCCTTTTGAATCATTTGGGAGGCAGATAAACTTTATCTGGAGAACAGTTTGCTTCCCAAATGTCATAAAGTAGCATTTATAAGGCACAAATAACGTAAAGAAACTGGCTGAGGGAACAAAATGCACTATACGATGTCTGCTAAATGGCAGTTGCCATTTTTAACAAAGTCCTTTGCAAATGTACTGTCCAATGACTGGATATCACGTATCGCACAAAAAGCCAAACTGACCATTTGTGACCTGGTCTTGACAGTGTAATTTCATTTTGTAACTAATAGTAACAGTTATTTGTCTCCTCCTGTTTGAATGCTTTCTATCACTCCGTCCAACTGACAGCATGTGAAAATGCCTTTTTTTTTTGGAGTATGGAAGCTTACCAGACAGTTGATTAAACTGAGCAGGTGAGGCACTGTTTTGAAAACCATGGACTGACTATCCAAGTGATGAACCTTCCTTTTATTCATTGTGTTTGATGCATAAAGGATACTTTTTAAAGATAGCAGCAGGGTAAGTTACTTCAAGAAAACTCCATGTTGGAGCGCAACCATAGAGTTCATTCTTGCCATGGAGACTAGGGCAAATGGATGATCTGACAAAGCAAATCAGTGCTGGCCCTTATGTTGAGATGCAGTAAAATGTCATTTCATGATATTGAACACAGCAGCTGTGAATATGCTCTTTTGGAGGCCCTGAGTCCCAGCGTTTCCCACGACTCAACTGCAAGTGATAGCAATCTTCAGTTAGCATCAGAGCTTCAGTATCCATGGCACTGGTTGTGTTGTAGCAATTGTATTCATAATAGTTCTCAGATTTTTCTGTCCTTGGAATCGCCTAACCGTTGTACTAGCAATACATTTCTAGGTCTTGTTTTTAAGAAACTGTTAATTTAAAAAATAATTCCCAACATGTAAAAAGGGGTGCGTGTAAACCTCTTTACATATCAGGAATTATTTTTGAAACATAGCACTGTTTAAGAACAATTGTTTATATGGTGTTTCAATTAATGCATAGTAGACTGATTATTTTTTCCTCTGTATTTAAGATGGTGAGCTACCTTTGTCTCAGTCAGTATTACTTCAATGAAAAATTGTTTGGCAGAGTTCAAAATGTGTGTAGGGGAGGGACAGGAGGGGCATTTGAACTATTAACGTGCATCCTGCATCAGCTGTTGCCACACCAAAATATTACCCACTGTTCTTGTTTTCATGTTTTATGTTAACTAAATAGAATGAAAGTTTGATTAAAGAAAACACGTTAGCATCTCTCTTTGGAGATGTTAAGTTTTGTCATCAGCTTTCCAAAATGGTTTAGGGTGGGGTTAAACTGTGCTCCCACAGTTATGATTAAAATGTTGTTCTCCAGGGTAGTAAATTTTTCATAGGATGCTTCTGTCCAGATTTGACCATTCATGAAGTGGCAGTAGACTCAGGCTGTCAAAAGCAATAAACTGATGAAACCACTTTCTGCTTCTATAGTTGTTTCATGAGCTGTTCTTCTTTCTGTGTTAAGACTGTTACAGACAGCACGTGTCCAATTTAATAGATCCCAGGCAATCGAGAGGAGGCCTTCCCTTTATATTGTCATCAGTTTCTGAGTCCTTGATTTTCATAACACACTAAGAGGAGACTCAGTCTTTGTGGCCAGCTGCTTAGATGAGAATAGTTCATTCGTCATAGCACTCCTAGCATTTTAACAATGATTACAATAAAAGCACGTGTAATGAGACATCAGCATTTGAGAATCAGTGTATTGTTAGATACAAACTTTGTTCTTATAAAAGCCTAATAGATGGGAGGAGGACAGATCCATTCCCAGCATCAGCTTGTGTGCTTTTCTCTTGTTACTGTGTGCCCCATTTTATTATGTGGCATCTTGAACTATTCTAATTTGTTTTTCTGAAATTTAGTGTTAGGCTGTACTTGCATTATCTGGAAACAGTAAAAATACAAATGACTAGCTCTGTTCAGTTTACTATTTTGAGACTCTCAAAGTCATAGAAAATTAGGGTTGGAAGGGACCACAGGAGGTCACATCTAGTCCAACCTCCTGCTCAAAGCAGGACTGTCCCCAACTAGATCATGCCAGCCATGGCTCTGTCTAGCCGGTCTTAAAAATCTTCAAGGTTGGAGACTACACCACCTCTTTGGGTAGCCTGTTCCAGTTACCCAGAGAGTAACTTTACTCTCCTCCTAGTGAGAGTATTTTTCCTAATATCTAACCTAAACGTCCCTTGAAACCATTGCTCCTTGTCCTGTCATCTGCCACTACTGAGAACAGTCCAGCTCCATATTCGTTTTGGAACTGCCCTTCAGGTAGTTTGAAGGCTGCTATAAAATCCCCTCTCACTCTTCTCATCTCCAAACTAAACCCAGTTCCCTCAGCATCTCCTCACAAATCATGTCCCCTAGCCCCCTCACCATCTTCCTTGCCCCAACCTGGACTGTCTCCAGTTTGTCCACACCCTTTCTGTAGTGGGGGGCCCAAAACTGAGTGCAGCACTGCAGAATAGAGGGGAAGAATCACTTCCCTTGATTTGCTGTCAGTCCTCCTACCAATGCAGCCCAGGATGCCATTAGCCTTCTTGGCAACAAGGACACACTGTGTTGGCTCATATTGTCCACTATAAACCCCAGGTCTTTTTCTGCAGAGCTGCTGCTTGGCCAGTTGGTTCTTCTGTACTAAGTGCAGGTCTTTGCACTTGTCCTTGTTGTACCTCATGAGATTTCTTTTGGTTCTCCAGTTTTTCAAAGTCTCTCTGAATCCTAGCCCTACCTTCCAGTATGTCTACTATTGCTCCCCAGCTTGGTGTAATCAGTAAACTGGCTAAAAGTGCACTCCATCCCATCTTCCAGGTTGCTGATGAAGATACAGAACAAAACTGGCCCCTGGGGCACTCCACTTGATACTGGCTACCAGCTAGACATCAAGCTACTGATTACTATCCTCTGAGCCTGACAATCTTTTTTCTGCCAGTTTTCCATCCAACTCACAGTACATTCATCCAGCCCATACTTCCTTAGCTTGCTTGCTAGAGAGTTGTGGGAGACCATGTCAAAAGCCTTGCTAAAGTCAAGGTATGATCATTCGCTCTTCTTTCTGCATCCGCAGAGCCAGTCATTTCATCATAGAAGGCAATCAGGTTGGTCAGGCATGACTTACCCTTGGTGCATCCTAATTGTCATCATCTCCTCTAAGTGCTTAGAAATAGATTCTTTGAGGACCTACTCCAGGATCTTTCTAGGGTGAGATTAACTGGTCTGTAGTTCCCTGGAACCTCCTTAAGTATTTTGGGACTCCTTCAATTGGAGTTCCTTTCTGGCAGGTTTATATAACTTTCAAACTTAAGACAATAAAACACTTTTTTAAATGAGAATTCTAAATTCAGATATGGGGTTCTATTTAGTGGATGGCTATGAAGTTGACTCTTAAAGCCCCCCTCTACACATTACATTTATGCTGCGATTTAATAGTTTAATAGATTCATAGTTTCTAGGGTTGGAAGGGACCTGAACAGATCATTAAGTCTGACCCCCTCCCGTGGGCAGGAACAAGTGCTGGGATCATAATACCCCAGCCAGATATCTATCCAACCTCCTCTTGAAGACCCACAGTGTAGGGGAAAGCACCCCTTCCTTTGGGAGCCCATTCCAGATCCTGGCAGCCCTAACTGTAAAGCAATGCCTCTTGATATCAAGCCTGAACCTGCTGTCAATCAATTTGTGGCCTTTATTCCTTGTTATCCCAGGTGGTGCCAGGGGGAACAGAGCCTCACCTATTTTCCGCTGGTCCCCCCGGTGAGTTTATAGACGGCCACCAGATCCCCTCTGTCTTCTCTTTTGGAGGTTAAATAGATTCAGGTCCTTTAGTCTATCTTCGTAGGGCCTGGCGTGCTGCCCCTTGACCATGCGAGTGGCCCTCCTCTGGACTTTCTCCAGGTTAGCCACATCCCTCTTGAATTGCGGCGCCTAGAACTGTATGCACTACTCTAGCTGTGGCCTAACTGTGGCCAATGCTGCACACAGGAAGGATCACCTCCCTCGAGCCGCTTGTGATGCATCTGTAGATGCGCGACAAGGTGCGGTTCGCCGCCAATGCGAGGAAGCGTTCAGTAAGGCTCATGTCCATACTGGAGTCAGCAATGACTCCAAGATCCCTTTCTGCCATCTTGTTGACAAGAAGGGTGTTCCCCAGCCTATAGGTGTGTTGTAGGTTCCCTCTCCCTAGATGCAGCACCTTGAACTTGTCGGCGTTGAACTCCATCCTATTCTCATCTGCCCACTCCTGTAATCTGCCTAGATCTAGGTGGATTCTGTCCCTCCCCTCCAGCGTGCCCACTTCTCCCCACGTCTTTGTGTCATCGGCGAATTTGGACAGTGTGCTTTCCACGCCCACCTCCAAGTCGCTGATAAAAATGTTTCTTAGATGTTGGGGCTGGAAGGGACCTAAAAGATCATCAAGCCCCGCCCCCTGCCCCAGGAGAAGGAAGTCAGATAGTGTCAAAGGATCCCAGCAAGATAAGCATCCAAGCGTTTCTTGAATAAAAGTGTCTGCACCAGTTCTGGAGGGAGTCTATTCCAGGTCTTGGGGGCTTGGACAGTAAAGAAATTTTTTCTTACGTCCAGCTTAAAATGGTCTTGTAGGAGTTTATGACCGTTGGTCCTCGTTTTTCCTTGGGGTGCTCTGGTGAAGAGATGTTCTCCCTGATCCTGATGTACACCCTTCATGTACTTATAAGCAGCCACCAGGTCCCCCCTGAGCCTGTGCTTTTCCAGACTGAAGAGTCCCATAGCTCGCAGCCTCTCTTCATAAGGCCTATTCTTTTGCCCTCTGACCATGCGCGTGGCTCTCCTCTGGACACCCTCAAGCTTCTCCACATCCTTCTTGAGAATAGCACATGCCTGAGGGCTGAGCCCTGGGGAACTCCACTGCCCACATGCCCAACATCCCTCCATGCTGAAAAAGACCCATCCACCACCACTCTCTGAGTATGACCATCGAGCCAATTTGCCACCCATCTGATTGTGGAGGCATCAATGCCTCAGTTGCCTAATTTTTTTTTATGAGAATGGGGTGAGAAACAGTGTCAAAGGCTTTCTTGAAGTCCAGGTAGACCACATCCACCTCAATGCCTGCATCCAAGGACTTGGTGACTTGGTCATAAAAGGAAATGTGTTAATCATGGCATAAATGGCAAGGGTGCTACATGTCCACCTGATTTTAGGTGCCAGAAAATGGCAAACCAGCCTTAACAATGTTCTACATATGATGTAGAACACTTTTTAAATGGCTAGTTTGTATGGTGTTTTAAATTGAATGTGTAGCATGTCCTGGCACAACGTGCTAATCAGTCCTGGTCTCAGATTTGCAAACACCCAGCTTTCAGTTTGCTGGTTTAGGGGGGAGCCTACACAAGATGAAGATCCCAGGCTTCTCCTTCACTGGCAAGTAGAAAGAGTATAACTGAGATCTGATCCCAATATTGCAGTTCCTGCCATTCACTTGTAGCATCGCAGGGGATGTGATTGTTGGGATTGGGGATCAGATCCCATTGTCCCATGAAATGAATGTCTGCCCGGGGCCTAGGATTAGTCCTCTTACTGTCATTGTCTATTTTAGTTTTGTTTTTAGCAAACTTTTTTTGCAATCTTTAATCTATAAAGTGTATGGATCATGTCTTACCACTGCTTATGCATAGGAATCCTGCGTGTCATTGGCTTGATTTCATCTGGAGGCAAAGTTATCATATGATTTCCTCTGCACAAAGCTGTGAACCCTTGAAGTGTTAAATCCTGTCATAGGCTGGTGAGGGTGCTGGCCAGATGCAGAGTGAAACTACTCTGCAAAGCACGGTTGCAGCTCTCTTGCAAGGTCTGTAACCCAGCAATGTCCAGATTGAGCATAAGCCATGCAGACCTTTTAAAAAAAAAAAAAAAAAAAAAAAAAAAAAAACTAAGA